AATGGTAAATACAAAAAGAACCAAAAAATAAAATTTTAAAATAAAAAAAAAATTTGTCAAAAAATTGTGGGGCGTCCCCCCCTAGCTCCGCCAGTGGACATAGTCGCATCTTAAATGAAGAAAACCACATATGTTATTGTGACATTGTTTGAATAATGACCTTTGTACTAAAGTCAACACATGAACAGAGTATACCAGATTGGAATTCAATTAACAAATACTTTTGTTGTATTTTTGTATTTTGGTTTTCTTGTGATGTCTCCTAGCGAGTTCACTATTCAATTAAGAAATCACAAGTTGTTAATATACTGATGTACTTAGGGAACAGTTAAAAATTGCGCAAATGAAATGATTCAACTTGAACAATTTATTGCAATTAATTTAGTCAGGTTTTCCATCAAGCCATGTGGGAATTTGAGAAATAATTATTTGAACGATGATAATCTGAACGAGCCTTGTGAGAACTTTATAGCGTTACATTCAACTTAGAGAATTAACCTTAGATTATTGAATAAAGACACCTCATCGCCTCATCGGTCACTTCCCCATATTCTTACCATCAGTCTTTCGCCTTCCCAAAGGTCTGGATTTTTCACATCATTTCAATCGTCATGGTCAACGAGGAAGAAAGAAATAAATTAATTTTCTTAGTGTAGAATAATACACCTACCGAGATGAAAAACGTCTTGTAAGTGGATCGGTTGGACCATGGGCCCTGGCACATTTTAATAGATCTCTAGTCATGATCCATGGGATTGGAGATTGACATGTTTGGAGTGACTCATTTCATGGTTACGAGTGTTTCACGACAAAAACACATATGGGTAGACTGAAAATCTGGAATCTTTGCTTTCTGCTTATTCAAATATTGCTACGACATAGTCCAAATAGTTACTGAGTTTCAATTAAATTAGTCAAAACTTACTGTGTTCCCAACAAAATTGTCTGAAGACTGTGCTTCAAGTGTTCATANAATGGTAAATACAAAAAGAACCAAAAAATAAAATTTTAAAATAAAAAAAAAAATTTGTCAAAAAATTGTGGGGCGTCCCCCCCTAGCTCCGCCAGTGGACATAGTCGCATCTTAAATGAAGAAAACCACATATGTTATTGTGACATTGTTTGAATAATTACCTTTGTACTAAAGTCAACACATGAACAGAGTATACCAGATTGGAATTCAATTAACAAATACTTTTGTTGTATTTTTGTATTTTGGTTTTCTTGTGATGTCTCCTAGCGAGTTCACTATTCAATTAAGAAATTACAAGTTGTTAATATACTGATGTACTTAGAGAACAGTTAAAAATTGCGCAAATGAAATGATTCAACTTGAACAATTTATTGCAATTAATTTAGTCAGGTTTTCCATAAAGCCATTTGGGAATTTCAGAAATATTTATTTGAACGATGATAATCTGAACGAGCCTTATGAGAACTTTATAGCATTACATTCAACTTAGAGAATTAACCTTAGATTGTTGAATATTTACATTTTCTCTTAATTCTGAAGTTAAGTCCACAATAAAATTAAAATGACATTAGAAAAACAAGAGAGGGTAGCTACGAGATACTTTTTCTCTCCCCTAAAAAGAATCGAGTCAGTATCAGCCACCAGCAATAATCAGCTAACTATAATCTATTCTCTGGGGTATTATTAATCTATTGAGTGCCACGGAATGATTAAGAACTCTATACGGCATTGAAATGCATTTTCTTCTTTGTATTTACTAAGTATTGAATGATCGAATAATTCAAGAATGCCACACTCCACATTCATTGGGCTGTTGGAGCAGGACTTCCTTGGAAAAAGAATGTAAATAACATTTTCTATCAGGAAGTCCTATGTCATTTACAACCAAGATGGATTTCGGATGCTTGAAGACTCTAATGACACGAAGTGATTTAGAAATAATCTTCTTTATTGATTGTGATAGGTTCATGATATCCATAATCTTGCTTCTTTTTCGATCAACTCCTGATATTATTTTTTTGTGTTCTTCGGTATTGTTATTTGAATAAAGACACCTGATCGGTCACTTCTCCATATTCTTACCATCAGCCTTTCACCTTCCCAAAGGTCTGGATTTTACACATCATTTCAATCGTCGTGGTCAACGAGGAAGAAAGAAATAAATTAATTTTCAGTGTAGAATAATACACCTACCGAGATGAAAAACGTCTTGTAAGTGGATCAGTTGGACCATGGGCCCTGGCACATTTTAATAGATCTCTAGTCATGATCCATGGGATTGGAGATTGACATGTTTGGAGTGACTCATTTCATGGTTACGAGTGTTTCACGACAAAAACACATTTGGGTAGACTGAAAATCTGGAATCTTTGCTTTCTGCTTATTCAAATATTGCTACGACATAGTCCAAATAGTTACTGAGTTTCAATTAAATTAGTCAAAACTTATTGTGTTCCCAAAAAAATTGTCAGAAGACTGTGCTTCAAGTGTTCATA